CATCCCCTGTCTCTGACAAAGCCACCAGGGTGGTGGCCATGCTGCTTTGTCCACCCCACAAATTAATTGCTGGATGATCTGAGGCCCTGGCGTGTTCCAAGCTGGGATGTGCTGCTCCATGCTGGCTGTGTGGTTCTGGGGTGCACCCCAGGGATGGGGTGGCTTTGCAGCCCAAATCTGTGTGGTCATGTCTTGGACACCTTGTTGTCCATGTGGACATGCCAGAGCAGCAGCTGTCAAGTGTCCAGCTGTGGCTCTACGTGCCACCAGTGCCACAGTCTGGGGGCACCAGCCCTGTGCCATCACCCATCGCTTCCCCTGTGGTTAACAGTTCCCAGAATGGCACACGAGCTGCTCACAGGCAGCAGGGACAGACCAGGCATCCCTTGTGAGATTAGATAAGGGCCAGTTCACGAGAAGTGAAATAAGTAGGGATGTTTTGGCATTGTTTTTTTCTCGCTATTACTGTTAATTGGCCTCAGTGAGTGTTCCAGCAGAAACGGTACGTTATTAGAAAATGAACATTACTTGTAATACAGCGCTGGGCGAGCTTGTAAGGAGCAGCCCTAACCCGCGGTGGAGGTGGCGAGGAGCTGGCATTTGCTCCTCCAGGAGTGTGTGCAGTGCCCAGGCCTGTTTGTCCGCCTGTGGAAGGTGACGAGGACAGCGTGGGGCAGTGGCTTTGTCACCAGGTGAGCTCTCCTGTGCCGGGCAGCTCCGGCGCTGCCGTGATTCGAGGCGGCTGCGGCGCCGGTGCCGCGCTGGGCTCGGCTCAGCTGGCGGATGTGGTGGCTGACCCCAGGCTGCTCCTCCTCGGCGTCACGGCAAAACAAGCACCCGTGGTTTCTTGAGCAAAGCCGTCTTTTACACCGAAACCCGGCGGGGAGCTCCCGGCTGCTCTCTCGGTTGAGGACGTGGTAAGCGCCCAGGACGGATCTCACGCTTGGGGCTGTGCTGCAGGTTCTCCTCTGCCTGCGCTCTGGGTCTCCGTGGGTTTGCTCCAGAGCTCTTTTCCAAGCAAGCCAGAAGTGCTGGGTGTTTGTACTTTGTTTTTCTGCTGGTGGGAGGAAGAGAGGAGGAGCAGTTAGCCTTTCTGTTGCAAGACCAGCTCCAGGCTTCCTTTCTGCAGGCCTCCTGTCTCTGAGGTCTTCTCCTCGGTAATTGTTGGAGCTGTGGGAAGGCCACCTGGATGGAGCAGTCGTGTGCCCTGTCTGTGTGGATGTGCTGGGTGCTGGAGCTGCGACTGCAGGGGCACAGGTGCTCTTGGCGTGGCACTGCCCATGTGCTGCGGGTCAGCACCTGGGGGTGCTTCCAGCATCACTCCCACACATCCCCTTCTTCCTCCTGCTTGGACATCAGGCAGGCAGCACCCAGCAGCTGCAGGCAGGGGAAGGAGAATTGAAGCACACCAGCGAGTGCACGTGTCCAAAACAGAAAGCAAGAGAGGCAGAACGGCTGCGCTGCTGCCTGCAGTTGTTGGCTTAGTGTGGGGGCTAGCCTGAGGTCGGGGACACCACTGAAGAGTTTGCTGGAGACTTTATGGTACGTAAGGCAGCAGGCTGGGAGCTTTAAAATGATTTTAAAAGGTGGGGGTGGTGAGGAAGCTTCTTCCTTTCTCATTCTGTTGAGCTTTCTCTGTGTGTCACCAAGAACTTCTCTGTGATACTGTGTTCAGGAGCCTGGCTTTCAGCAATTTGGTGAGCAAATCTAAATGAGCCTGGTAGACTCAGGTTGTTTGGGTAGAAGGATTTACCAGGAAGGGTATGGAAACGGTGTTCTTGGCACTCCCAAATCAAGGGATACCACAGAAGCCTTGAGACTCAGGGTCCTTTCCCTGTCTCTCCCTCCCAGCACTCCATACAGGAGCAGCAGGGAGTGTCCAGCTTTCCTGATGGGCAGCAAAGGATGCTTTCAGTCCCTTAGGCTGGGCCTAAGTACATGACATATACTGAATTCATGAAATCTGCAAAGCTTCTCAAAGTACATCCATGTGGGAGCACCTGAACCACAAGGAACAGGAAAGTAGATGTAAAAGTAAGAAAATCCTTACTGGGAGCAGTTGGAGATTTGCAATGTCTGGAGAGGGTGCTCTGGTAAACCAGCAGATTTGTGGGGTGGGAGGAAGGTTTGCAGAGGGCAGGAAGAGATGCAAAGAGAGAGAGAGGAGGAGCAAAAAAAATAGAATTGAGCAAAACAGTGGAGAGGAAAAGGAGCAACGTGTAGTTTGGGGCTGCAGCGCTCTTTAGTTTTTTTTATTTCAGGTGTCTTGGAGCTGCCCATGAGCAGGTGCTAGAAATTTGAGGTCAGGGTGAGGGCTGCATCACATCTGTGTGATTCAGTGGTGGGGAATTCAGGTGGCACCCACTGGGTGCTGCTCCTGTGTCTGTGTGGAAGGGGCAGTGGTGCTGGCAGCAAGGTGCCTCCCAGCAGGTGTCTCAAAAACTCTGCTAGAGAAAATTGAAGCCTCTCGTGAATCATAGAATCATTTAGATTGGAAAATACCCATAGAGTCATCACATCCAACCATTAGCCCAGAGCTGCCAGGTCCACCAGGCAGTTTGAAGGCAGCTCATAAAATTTTCTGGTGTTTGCATTTGAAAAACACTGTCACTGCTCACAGTGCAATTTACTGGGGTAACCTTCTGAGCAATTAATCCACCTACATCCTGCCCAGGCTTCCACGGTGCCTCTTAACAGTTCATCACAGGGCACAGAAATTAGTCCGTTTTAATTCTCCTCACTAATTTTGTAGGTTTTGTTTTTGTAAAACCCACCATGGATGTAAGCAAGGCAGAGCAGGTCAGAGTCCCTTCAGGCCATGCCAGCAGGTTCTGAGCTCCACCACCCGTTTTCTGGTGGGGTTAGAGGAGACAAAAGCTCAGCTGAGTGTGGGCAGGGGGAAAAGGAAAAACAGATGGTTCTTGGGACATGCAAGAGCCTTTTTTTTTTCTCAAGGGCACAGCCTTTGAGCCTCCCAGACGGGTAATTCTTGTTTATACACCCACAGAAAGTGACGGTCCTGGTTTTGGACCTATTGGTGTGTCTTCCCAGACACGACGTGTTTGTTTTGTAGGTGGATGTCAGGAGCTGCATCACTCTTCTATTTAAATATTTATTTTTAATTTCAAACCAGGACAAGTGTGAACGTGGGGAAGCTTGTTCGTGGGCAGGGATTCTGCTTTGGCTGGGCCTGGAAGAGCTGCTGGGCTCCCTCACTTCAGATGTCTGTGTTTGTCCCATCTGTGGTTGGAGTGGTGGCATGTTCTGTCCTGCAGCCCCTCTGGCATCCTGCATCCTCCCCAGACACCTGGATTTACAGCACAACAGCCCTGGCAGGATAAGTGGACACTGTCCAAGTCGTGCCCTTCTCAATGTGGCAAGAACCTGTCTGCAGACACCCCTTGTCCCAGAGCCTGAGCTCTGGGGTGGCCAGGCTGGGGCTGGGGCTGGGGCTGGCAGAGTCTCTTGTTCCTGGTGTTTCCCAACGTTGGTCAAAACAGAGAAGGAGCAGCACCATGCTGTTCCTTGCTAGTGGGTACAAATAAACCTGATTCCAAAAACTGGCACAGCTTCCTGGGCACAAGAAGTGGTGGCCCATAGGACACCACAATTTCCCTTTCTCCTCCCTTTGATATTTGGCCTTCTCAGCTTTTGTGCAAGAGAGGTTGGATGTGACCAAATTTTCTTGGCTCTCGCAGGCTGAATGTTTATAATCTCATTTTCTTCCTGACTTTCCAGAAAAACTCTTGTTTTACTCTGTGATGATCAAACATGTTGGGCCTTGATACTCCCTTCTACTCCACCACTTGCTGGAGGACAGCATGACATCCACTGCTAGGCTGCTCTTTTCACTTCCAGCTTGGGAGAGGGGATCTCCAGGCTCAGGTTGTTGCTACTGAAGCTTCCAAAGCCTTTCTTTGCCTGCCCTGCACCTTGCTGGGGCAATTCCCCAGCTTCCCTAGGGCTGGAACATGTTGATCTTCACTACATCAGATCAAATAATTCCTGTTCCAGCTGTTGGGGCTGAGACCCCCCCCGCCCACATCAGCTGCATGCAATGTGGTGTCTTATTTATTGATTTATTTTTTTTCTGTAGACCCTGAAATAATTTTCTTCCTTTTGAGGAAGTTAAAGCTTTCTTGTTCCAATTGAGAATTGTTCAAAAATAGACTCCCAGGTGGAATTGGTTCTTCTAAGGTAAATGTGTGTCAGTGTTACCAGGGTTATTCTGTGACAGGCTTTTCTGTGCCATTGCTGAAGGTCTTAGTTAATTAGATGATTAGTCTGCTGGTCAAGTATCTATCTGCAAATAAAAAATAGCAGTTGAATGTGGCTGCCTAAAATACTGCTGCTGGAATCAGTCTGTGGCACAGAGCAGGAGGGCTTCTTATTTAATTAAAATCAGGAACATACTGTACTGTACTCTCCAAGGGTCAAGGAACAAAAGGGACGTACACATAATAAGTAGCAAACTGTCCTTTCAAACCCCTTGAGCTCAGCCCAGGGGAGCTGTGTTTAAAGGAACATTTTCGAGATAACATTTGTGATTTTTCTTCTGTTCTTTCCCACCTCCCCTTTCTTTCTTTCTCCATGCTGCTATATGGATTATTGAAGCTGAAAGTATCCTGTGACTTAATTTTGTTCTTACCTGTTCTTACTCTTGGATCCACAATTGTCATCAAGACCGCTTGGATGCCAAAAATTCATGTGTGGGTGCTCAGTGGCTGGGTTGAGCTTGCTGGGGTCCTTTCCCAGGAGCCAGCTCGGCCTGCAGCACCAGGAAAAGGCTGGAGGCAGATTGACCAAGGGGCTGAGCTACCATTCCAGTGCCATGTGGGACTGGGACTTACTGGGAACTTTTCGGGGCGAGCCAAGCACTGAGCTCTGCGGCCCAGAGTGCTTCAAAGGAGGAATACCAACATGGGTTTTTATGAGTTCTTCTGTGCTTGCTTGAGAGTTCCCCATCGGCCTGACGAAGCTCCGTGTGTTTGTTCCTGCAGGACGTGGCGCTGTTGGAGTACCAGCATCATTCCAGGGATTTTGCTTCCCACCTCCCGCCGGGGTCGATCATGCAGCCGCAGCGGCGGCGGCCGTCCCTGCTCTCCGAGTTCCAGCCGGGCAATGAAAGGTACTGGCAAAGCTTCCCTGCCCGCACCAGCCAGGATTCTGTGGTGGGAGCAGCCTTGGGAGGGAGCCCTGGGATGTTGTTTTTGGGTACTGACCGTGCTCAGCGCCAGTTCAGGTTCCTTCTGCTAGTCAGGTGTCACCTTTGCCTTCTGGCTCCTTACCTTAAAAACAACAACAACGACAAAAAAAAAAAAGCCACCCCCTCGCTTCTGTTCTACTGGTTGTGTTGGCTTCTTCAGCATAGGAAATGAAGCAGTGTGGTTGGGTTTGGTCTGTGGCTCCCGAGGCTGCAGGGAGGAGTGAGAAGAGCTCATTTCCTCCCCCATCTCCGCTTCCTCTGCTGCTGCTCTTCCTCCCCGCTTTCATTGTTTTTGTTTCTCTTTCTGCATTCTCCTCACAACTTTCCCCGAGCTGGTTTTTTTTTTTTTCCTATCTGCTCCCTTTCATGCCTCTCCCTGTGTCCCTGTTTCCTGTTGTAGCCTCATGGGAAGCTGCCAGAGTTTTTAGGTGCAAGTCAGGCAAGTGCTGTGGCTGGGAATGCTGTGCATGCTTTAACCACAGGAGCTGATTTGTCTGAAGGACATCACTCTCACTCTCTCTTTCAATGCAAAACTCTGCTCTCTCTCACACTTTCTCTTCTGCATTTGATGTCTAGTGGTTTGGGAAAAAAAAAATCTGGCCTGGAAGTGAAATAAGAGCCTTGCTACAGTAGATACACACAAAACAATTCTTTTAATGCTTTTTTTGTTAGGCTAAGAACAAAACCAGTGCAGAGTCAGAGATGAATCTGTTTCTCTAAAATCATCATTGTTAAGGAAGAGGAGTAAGAACTCAGGGGGCTGGATGCATGACAAATACAGACAGGATCCTCTTTTTCTAGTAGGTTGGGTTCAGCTTGGTGCTCAGCAGAAACAAACCCGTGAGAATTTCGAGGCGAAAAGTAGCTTCCAAAATTCATTTTGCATGTGGACATGCCCTTCTGGGTTATGCCTGTGGCACCTGCACGTACAGAGGGTCGTGCCACTTTTAATAACCCATAATTTATTGCAGCATGTTGCACTGTCTTGGCTCACTTTGATTTCTCAGTGCTTTGATTTCATAGCACAGAGTAACATGGTTAAGTTGGAATTGGGTCAGATTTAGCTAAATTTGGGGGAGATGGGTAAAGAGGACCCAGCAACATGCTCCTGCCTGTTTTTGTTTTTCACACTACTGATGGTTTGCAAAATGGAGAAGCAGTTCTGCTCTCCAGTAATATGCTGTTTAAAAATATGAATCTTGGTTTTTCTGTATCGCTAAAAAAAAAAGCCCAACTGCAGACCTTGGTGTCTGCTGTACCACATGCCTGGTCTGGTGTGGTCACCCAGGCGGCTTACAAATGTTTCAGAGTCCCCAAACTTTTTTTTTATATGTTCACGGTCACGTGAATGTGGGTAAATGTTAATCAAAGTTGTCAGGGGATGTTGCACATCCACATGCTTAGCATGGTACTTCATTTTCGACCTGAATGGTGATGTTTTGGCATGCCATAAAAAGAAACTATTTTAATAACTTACATTTCATCCCTTTTCCCCTTAACATCCAAAAAATAGTACTTTTGCAAAAATTATACTGTGTAGTAAAGCTAAAAATACTGTTTCAGTTCATTTGACATCTTGTGTCAGAATGCTGGGACATAGACTCATTGAATATTTTTGGGAGCATGCAGAAAGGAGTTTGGGGGGGGTCTTTGAAAAAGTTGTAAAGAAATTTTCAATCCAATGTAATTAGTTATTGATTTGGATTGGGTACCATTGGGGCTGGGGAGGTGTTAGCCTGTTTTTGAAAGCCAAGTCTGTTTTTGAAAACCATCTGCTGTTTCTCTGCATCTTTAAGCTCTACGCTTAAAAATCTTTGCTGGTTCACCTTTGTGGTCTGAGGATCTGCTGTAACACAATTCCTGCTGTGTTCTAATAGGAACCCTTTGGGTGGTGGTTGCTCACCTGAGAATTCCAAGACCCTGGAGTTCCTAGAGCAGGTTGGGTTGGTCATTGGTGCCCTCCCCAAAAAAATAGCTGTGGCTCTTGGTGGTGCAGAGCAGAGCCTGGATGAGGGAGGGTGGTGATGGCAGCCGTGGCTGCAGCTGAGTCCCCTTGGCAGGCTCAGTGCCTTGGCTTTGTTCCTGGGCTGGGATTGATGGTTTCGAGCAGAGGCAGCTGGCTCTCAACATGAGGGGCTGGGGAGGAGGGAGCCCAAGGCAAACAACATCCACAACACAGCCCAGGGGTGAGCAGAGGGAAGCACAGGGCTGTGCTGTGTCTGAAAGGAAGACCCTCGCTGTGGTTCCCTGCCTGACAGCCCAGCTGGCACTCAGTGATGGTGGGCATGTGACAAAAATTCCCCTTTGAAGCAAGTGTCACAGAGGGGAACCCTTCCAATCCCCTGCTGCTTTGGGAGTGCAGAGGAAGCAGCCTGTCTGCTCTTGGTTGTGGTGGCTGATGCACTTCCAGGATTGCTCTGCTCCTTAAGGATATCAGCTTGCACGTCTGGTGCGAGTGGGGTGTGGCAGGCTGACAGCACTGGAGATCCAGCCCTGTGTGCATTCCCACATGGACATCCCTGCCCTGCCTCATCCTACAGCTGCACACTGGTGCAGCCACTCAGTCCCAGCTCCTCTGAGCCCACCTGCCTGGTGAGTGGCTGCTCTTTGCCTTCCTGTCCTGGAAAATGCAGGGATTCCCTTGGTGTGCTGCTTTTGGGGTGTTTTCCCCTATTTTGGCTCTGCCTTCATTTTGGGCAGATCTCTGAGGCCTCTGCAGGCTGTCCTTTGCACGTGGTATTGGAGGCTTGACCCTGGGGATGCTCAGAATCCCACAGAAATCATTTGAGCTTGCTTGGATGGTGTTCCTACAGCTGTGCATGTTTTCAGTCTCTCCTGGCTGCAGTTTTGCTGTAGCCACCAGGATGGTGGTTAGTTGTGATTCAGTGGAAAGGGAACAAGAGGTGAAGCATTTCACCATGGGCACAGTGTGTTAAGGATGAATCGAGTGTTGTTGGCAACAAGGTGTCGAGTGGTGACTTGCTGGAAGGAATGGAATGCTGGGATGGTCCCGCATTTTGGGGCTTCCTGAGCAAGAAGCTTGCTGGGAAGTTACAGACTGCCCTTCTCCACATATGTCAGAATCAAGAGTTGTCATCATCCCTCAGTGGTTGGGCAAAGAACTGAACTCCCTGTGCAGCAGTTCTGGCTGGAAGAAGGAAGGAAAACCTGAACCTCTCTGAATCTCTTGCTGTAGGCAAAATTGGCTCTGCCTGTCTTTGCAGGGATGTGCTGCTTTCCATGATGGTTTTTTTGGTAGCAGGCTTTTTTCTTGGAAGGATCCAGAGACTTCCCCTTAGCTTGTTCAGTTGGCTGTGCCAACTGGTCTGCAGGAGTGAAGAGAAGTATTTCAGGATCTGCTGTTGGTACAAGTCGTACCATGAATACTTGCAGTGGAATGTCCTGGCAAGGTGACAAGGATTAGGGCTTTTTTCCCTCTTCTATATATATTTTGGTCCTCAAAAGAAGTGAGAAAAACTGGGTTGAGTGTTAAATGGCAGGTGCCAGAGGGTGAGGGATCTGAAAAATCAAGGAACTGGATTTTTCTAACTTTCCATACGTGTTAGGATTTTAGAGCAAGGTTCCATGTTAATGCAGGAATGCTGGGGTGGATACTTCTCTCTGCTTCTCTGGCAGAAAACGTGGCTGTAAATAAATGGTATGTGTGTTAACACAGTATATTCCACCTTTATCCAGAATAAGATGAGTCACTATTTTCATAGAAGATTATTTTCCCAGTTCAGAAGACCACGCTCCTCTTTCGGAGCCGTTTCTGCTTAGCAGGCACAGGGATTCTGAAGAGTTTGCCCAGTGTGGCTCTGCAGGGTGACATTTAGGATACACTGAGCAGCTGCTGTGTTTGTGCAGCCATCTGAGATGGCCGTGTGCAGTGTGGCACATGGAGAGCACGCTGGATCACTGTGCCTCTTGTTGGGATTAATCCTGCTGGCCCGGGAGCCCAGGGAGGGCTGGGGAGCTGGGGCAGCCTGAGTGATGTGGGAATCACACACAGCTGAGTCTTCATCAGCTGGGCCAAATGGCATCAGCTGCTCCCAAGGTAACAGCATGACCAATTCGGTTTTATTTACGGTTTTTAATTAAGTTTTTATTTTTAAAGGTGATCCTTTTCTCAGGAGTGAGCGGCGGTGTGGCTGAAATCCCCACAACCACATATCTCTGTCTCTCACACTGGGAATTATGTAGCAGGAGCTGTGGGTTTTTTTTTCTTCCCCATAATTGAATGTAGGAAAACAACATCTGGAGAGAACAGATGCTGGTGTGGAGGCACTTGGGGACAAGCCTTACCTTGCAAGCTCTAGTGTGGGCTGCCTGGCATGGACACGGATGGACATGAAGGATGGCCAAGGGCATGGGATGTCTCTGAAGCTGTTGGTTCAGGAGTGTTCCAGCCACTGTTCCAGCCACCCAGGGCTGCTAAGAGAGCTTTACTGGCAGGCTGCAGTTTTGGATGCCTGGAGAAAGCACGTGGAGGAGCTTGTGGAGAGAGACAAATACTCCTTTTCTTCCTCTAGAGTGAGGCGGTGCCATTGTGTTAAAGCTTCTGCTGGTCCTGTCCATGAATAATTCAGGCTCTGTGTATGGGGTTCTTCAATATGCAAGTTTTAAATAAAGCATCTGCTCTTATCTAAATTGCAGTTGGCTTGGAAGAAGGTGGCTGAGGGGTTGTGCAGGGTGGCTGAGACCCTGCTCCCTGCCCATGTGTGGGAATGCACAGCATCCCCAGGATCCACGTGGGTGCTTGGTCAGAGCTCCTGAGCACCTGGGACTCCTTCAGCTGGACCACATGGTGAGCTGAGCATCCTGCCCGAGGCTGTCCCACACCTTTGGCTTGGGAAGACTCAGTCCTGCTGTTGGCAGACTTAGCTGAGGGTGTGGGAGCAGCTCCATCTTCCCGCCCAGACATGCAGCTCTTCCCATCAAGTCACGGTGGTTTATCTCCCTCTCCACCTACATGACAAAGGGAATATATCAGCTGGTCCTGGACATGTTTTTGTAGGTGTCTGGTGGCAGATTTGCTGCTCCAAAGCTTCCAGTTCCTCTCTTGAACAGGTCCCAATTTGCCCAGTCTCACACTCTGGCTCTCATTAGCTGTAAAGGGGTTGTTGAAACCTCTGACGAATCTTAGCATTGGCTGTAAATAATTCACTTCAGCATCAGTGGTTTTCTATGTTACTGATTCTCAAAAGCATTTTATTGTCTGGCTGTACCTGTGGGGGTTGGATACTCTTTTTAGAACTTATTTTTGGAGACAATTTCCCACCAAACCATCTTAGCTGGAGGAAATAAACAGCCTCAGCAAGGCGGTCGTTTGTCTTGGTTCTGGTTCCAGGAGACACTGAGAATCGGTTTTCCAGCCTGGTTATGTTGTTTTGGCCCCATGGTGTAGGGAACAGTATTTGCACATGGGAGCAACTCTTAAAATGTGCTCTTGCTGGGAAGTTGGTGGGAGCTGGCTTGGAATTCCTGCAAAAGTTTTGAGCCCTCGGTGCAGGAGGCTTCAGGAAGTCAAGCTGGGCTTGCTGGGTGTTGCAGAATAGCAGAATAGCCATCATTGCTCCTGCAGCCACCTTCTGCTGCTCTGCTGAGGGAGAAATGGGAAGGTCTGAAGAGCAGGGGAGGGCTGTGCTGCTCTGAGGAGCCAGACAGTGTTATTGGGGAGGGAGAGGCTTTGGCCTCCTGAAAAGTTTGTACTTGCCCAGGAGAGTACAAGATCTCTCATGGTAAGATCTCATCATGACTGCTCTTACAAGTCCTAGCCAAGGGCAGCTCAGGGTATCTCATTTGATCCTGTCTCCCCAGCTCTCAGCTTAATGACTGGACTCAGTGATTTTAGAGGTCTTTTCCAGCCTGAAGGATTCTTTGATCCCTTGATACCCAGCCACCAGGCAGTCTGTGTTTTCAGCCCATCTTGTACACTCGCTGGAGCGAGCTGCAGATACCCCACAGTTCTGTAGGGTTTTATCTGCTCATGCCTTCCTTACAGCCTCTGAGAGTCTGCTGAGGAATCAGCCCTAGTGAATGAGTAACTGCAGCTGGGAGGGTGCAATTCCTTTGTCGGGTTAGTAATAAACCAAAGGTCTCATCTTGGGTTATCTTGGTCTTCTGGACCTGGACCTACCCTGAGCAGAGCTGTGTGGGGGTGGTTGGAAGTTGGGCAAACCCTGGGCACCCAGCCTTGTGTGTCAGCACATCTCAGGCTGCTGTGCTTCCCTGAAGTATTCAGCGTTTGTGGTGAGGGACTCAGGTGAAGACGAACCTGTCCCACTTCATAATTAATGCTGGCATTTGCTTTGCTTCATTTAATTATGCACAACTCACAAGCAATTAAAAACACTTTTTCCCCCTTCAGCAAAGTAGGAATCTCTGGAATAAACCAGATGGGTGGGAACTATTTGGAAAATAGCAGCAAACCCCAAACTCGGTGTAACGGGAAGGTTTTTCAGGCAGAGTCATTTTTGCCCTGACAGCAGCGTCGTTGCTGTATAAAAGTCTGTTGTAAGGAGCTTGCTGCAGGTGTGGATGTGGAGAGTGAAAGGTGTGAAGGCTTCAAGCAAAAGCATTTGTGTTTGCAGCCAGGACAGGCTGAGCGGGTTGTGTTGGGCAAAGTCTCAGGAGCGGCTGGAAATTCCAGTGGATAAAGTTAATAGCTGTTCCAGTGGATGTGGAAATGGAAATAAAATAGCACCTTATAACATTGCAGCTGCTTTCCCTGGCGTGGCCCCTGCCTCGCTGTGAGTAACTGCCTTTGTAAAGCTCAGTGGTGCTCTTATCTTCAGGATCCATGGGGGTTTTTTTCTGAGTGGAGCAGTTGTGTCGAGTTCCCGACAACTGCAGAGGTCTCGGAGCCATCCTTTGTCAATTAGCAGCTTCTTGGTAATACAGCCTTAAAAAGGGGGAAGAAGTGAAAATAAATACATCTGAATTTTAATTGCCACAGTAGAGCAGGGCCTTGGGTGTTGGAATATTTTAGCACCTGCCCAGCTCAACAGTTGCTTATTGTTCCTGGGTTTTACAGCAGAGCCTGCAATGCCAGCGTGCAGCTGTGGGCAGGCAGGGATTGCATGAAGGGCTGGGACCAGGCAGCAGGAAACCTGAGAGATGCCAGCAGAGATTTTTGGGGCTTGCTGAGAAAAGTTGAGGATCATTCAGCATGGAAGTGTCTGCAGGTGAGGCGAGCTGTGCTTCAGTGCCAGATTCCAGGGCTGTTGAGGGTTTGCTGTGTGAGCTGTATGCTCTGTCTGGGGTTGTTGGAGCACCAAAGGCAGTGCTGGAGCCTCCCCGTTCTCCTGCCCCCTTTTTTTGCTGGGGAGGAGGCAGAGGATGAGCCAGATTCTGTTTGTGTGTGTGTCAGCAGCAAAGCTGCTGCCCAATCCCAATGCCAAACCCACAGCAGCAGAGCTTGGCATGCGTGTGCTTTGTGCCTGCTGTTGATGTTTAATTAAAAATAACCCTCCCAGTTTTATCTTGATTCTTCATGGGTTAAGGTGGCCACGCTGCTGCAGGGGAGGGCATAGGGCAGTGCTCAGTGTGGATTCTTACAAAATCCTCTCCCTGGATGGCATCCAGAGCCATTATAGCTGCTGGCTTCAGGGCACTCTGGATCCTTCCCTTTTTGCCATCTTCTCTGAGATTTTTAATGTCAGGAGTAGCAGTTTGTGGGTAAAACAATGCATAAGACCCCCTGTCTTTTATGCTTGCTCTTGACAAAACATACTCCTCTTTGTCCCTCCCCTTCCAGCAGCTCCAAAGGCCATTAAGTTTGTTAGTGTTTGGTAACTGGGGAGGACACATTACCACCAGCTCAGGAGAATTGCAACAATCTAGTTTAAGGGGAAAAGAAAAAAAAAAACCAAGTTTTTTCACAAGTTTTGAATCTCCTGTGCTTCATTTCATTTATTTTAAGAGACACTTCTGCCTGAAGTGTTAAAAACACACCCCTTGGAGCTGCTGCAGCAAAGCTGATCCTAGGGCGTAGTAAAAGGTTTAATGTATTTTTGTAGGATTTCTTTACAATTCCCACAAGAGAATCCTGCTAAGGAAAACAGAAGTACAAAAAAAAGTTCAACATTTGTTTAAAAAAAACAGAACCAAGCCCACTCTCCAGGTATTACCAACTGCATGATATTTAACAGGTAAAAGATGTTTGAGCTCGATGTGACTCGTTGCTGCCGTTGCTATCACTGGATAATGTGCCTTTACAGCCTGCCAGGTCTGTGTCAGAGACGTGCAAATACATGTGGCTGCTTTCTTTCCTCCCCCCTCCTGGAAAAATAAATCCCTGCTGTCTAGCCACGGAGGAGTAGGCATTTTTTTTTTTTTCCCCCAACATAGAATCTTTGGTATGCCTATAGAAGACACTAAATAGAAACACTGGGGCAGGTACCTTTGACTAAATAAGCCAAACGTGGCACAAGGGGGGCTCTGCCTGGTCTTGGAGGCAGGGGAGGGTTTATGGGGTAGATTTGAGGGTTTTCCAAGCTTTACCTTTTTCTGACCAGCCCATCCCATGTGTCATGGCAGGGAAGGCTCAGACCTGCAGCCTTACTCTCTTTGTCCCTGTGCAGGGACAGCCACCCACTGCCCTGGTGGGACAGGGGGTGACAGCAGGGCTGTCCAGGTGACACAGCTGAGGAGGGGGACAGCAGTGGTGGTGGTCATGCACCATGCCCAGCAGCCGAGCTATGGGGCTGTGCCTTTGGGTCTGCAGAGATTTCAGGTGTTTGAGGGCAGGATCCTTCTGGAAAACTGAGCCTTGTCCTCCTCCAGTGGTTTGCAGGGGGAGAGCAGAGGTAGTTTCTTCTCTAAACTCCTTTCCCTTTGTCCCCAGGTCTCAGGAGCTGCACCTGAGAGCCGAGGGCCATTCCTATCTCTCTGACCTGACCAAGCCATCGGACTTGGAGTTCATTGAAACCAAGAGGCCACGCCTGGAGCTGCTGCAGGACCCTCTGATGAGGCACTCGCCCCTCCTGAGCCAGAGCCAGCAGGGAGGCACCGAGGATCTCTCAAAGGTAAGGGGCTGGTGGCCTGTGCCACCAGCTGGGTGCAGGGTCTGCATTTTGGGCTTGTGCAGAGCTGCCCTTGAGGCTCAGAATTCAGTGCAGCTCGTGGTTCCCAATGCATTGAGCAGTGCCTGGAGACACTGGAAGGTTTTCCCTGAGGTGGGGTGAGCACTTTGGGGGAATAGAAGCATATCAGCTTTCCCCATAGCTGGAAGCATATCAGCTTTCCCCATAACTGTTACAGTCGTGGGCTTTTTTTTACTGGGCTATTAGATGCACCAGAACAATTTGGAAGCTCCTGTAGGCTGAATTAAGGATGGTCATGTCTGGCTTTTCTGGATACTCTGCCTTGATTTGATTTTTATTTGATGCTTCTCATTTATCACGTCTCTTTATTTAATATTGGTGTTTGAAGGGCTGGAATTGGTTTCTGGTGGTTCTTTAATATAATCTTCCCCAGGAAAGCCTCCCTTGTCCCAGTCTCATTTAACAAAGCAAATCGTTTACTTACAATTGTCCCCTCTGCACATGGAATAAATGTTGCAAAGAGAAATCCCTTGCTTGTGTGCCTGTTTGGATTTACTTTCATCTTCTCTTGGGGTAGATTATATTTGATTTTTACCTCCAGTTTGGACATGCTCCTGGTTGGCAGGAAAGTCTTGCTGGATAAATGTGCTGAGGGTTGGTGCAGCTGCAGGCTGGGCTTGGGAATTGCCCTCAGCCCTTTCAGAAGTGAAAGAGAATTTGCATTCATACCCAGGAAGATGGGGATGGTTTGCTTTATCCCTGTGGGAGCTCACTGAAATAACACAAGGACAAGAAAGCTCTTCCTTGGCAGTGCTGGGATATTCAGACATTTCTTATCCATACAATACTGGTGGGCTTTACCTGGATTGTCTCAACTGTTTCTAATAGGCATAGCTGCTCTTGAGGAATTAGTTCATCAGTTTAGGGGCTGGATTTGCTTCTTGGTCTGTGACACGTTTCCAAGAAGAACATGCATTTTATGTGGCTTCAAACATTTGTTAATGAAAGAGAGAGCGAGCTGAGATGCAATTCAGCAAGACAAGATTGTGCTTTTAGTGGAGCCATTTGTAATTTTAGAGTCTGGAAGGAAGAGGAAAATGTGGTGTCCCTGACTGGTGAGAGCCTGAGTGGAGCTGGGATTAGTTGCTCTAAACTAGCAGGGGCTGCTTCTAGAATGGATTTGATGGAGCCAAGATGGAGATGCTTCTAGAATGGGTTTGATGGAGCCAAGATGGAGATGCTTCTAGAATGGGTTTGATGGAGCTCACTGCAGGACTGGATGGTCTCAGTGCTGTCCAAGTGGCTGGGAGCAGAAGGCAGGTGTGGGACACAGGGTATATCAGCCTTTGCAGCTTGGGAAATTGGCTTAATGGCAGTCTTTTGGTGTTAGTCCTGAGCAGTTGTACTTAGACTGGTCTATAACCTGCTGATGGACATGAGAGTCAGGGAAAAGCTCCTGAAGCCAATGTGTGCATTGCTCTGAGTCTCAGCATGCTGGAGGAGCTGCTCTGGCTGTGGGTCCAGGAGAAAGGCAAGGAGCTGAGGCTGCCCTTTGGGCACAGCTCTGGGCACTGCCAGTCCTGGGCTGTGGGCACAGGTGGAACCTCCTCTTGCACCCACGCTAAGCCAGCCACAGCTGAGCTCAGCACTGGGCTCTGAGCTCCCCACCTAGGACAGGTGATGAGACTCTCCTTCCTGAGAGTCTCCGTGTGTCCCAGAGCAGTGGCACACACGCTGGCAGGACGTGTCCCAGTGACCAGAGCTGCAGAGATATTTGCTGTTCAGTCTGTGCTGCTGACTCAGTGTCTGAGGAAGTCGCTCAATACTTGATCTAGGGCAGCTCTGCCAGCTGGGTGAGATGCACCACGTGAGCCCAGTATTGCTAAACACACTGCTGGTTGTTTAGACCGAGTATCCCAGGAGTTGTTCACTACCCGTTACCCCATTCCTCATTGTTGCAGTCACTGCGTGGGGAGGAGCTCCATTTACTCACTGGGCTAATAGTGCTAGGACTGGTTTTCATGGTGATTTTGCAGATTGAGCTCATTTTTGCACAGTAAGAGCTCCACAAAGCCCTCAATAAAAAGGGTCGGGGTTTGGTTACACACCCTGGGCGCCAGCCTGACTGTCCCAGGGGATGTCACTGCAATGGATGTTGCTCTCAGGCAGTGGCTATGTCTTGGTCTCTCCTGGTTTCAGAGCAGTTGTTGTTGAGCTGGGATGCAGAATCAGGTCTGCAGTGGGATATAAGTTTAGCATATCCCTGATAAGCAGTGATAACTGGATTTGCCAGCCTTCAGCCCGGGGAGAGAAGTCAGCACCATTCCTGCACGTTTCCAAGGCCTTTGTTTAGAGCCATAGTCTGTGCTCTGAACACAGACAGAACAATTGATGGGGCAACTGCTGGTAACAGGCTTCAGAGTTTTTCCTCCCCTGAAGAGAAATGGATTTCTCATGCCTTTTGTTCCTCATCCACCTCTCCCAAACAGGAGGAGAGCTGGGCCCCTTAAACCCTGTTCAGTGTTGCTGCAGCTTCACTCCAAGCAAGGCTGCAAGGAGAAGCTCTAGGATCAGTGCATTTTCCCTGCAGGAAGCACACACACTTTTGGGCAGCGTGCCTTTCAAAAGCAGCAGCTTTCAGCTAAATCTCACTTGGACAAGTAAAAGATACTACCTTTCCTTATGAACCTCACGTTGCTCATATCCTCAAACACAGGTGTTTCTTCTCAAGCCAGAGGCAGGAGGTTGTTTTCTTGCCTGCTTTACCTCGCTTCAGCATCTTTTTCCCTGCTGTTGTGTGTTATGTTGCTTCAGTGCTGTGGTGCTGGGCTCCTGCTGTTGGACGTGGCCTGCAGGGCTCTGGTGAGCTCAGTCTGCTGGGGAGAAATGAAACCTCCCCGTGCCCTCTGTGCCAGCTGGGGCTTTTCCCCCAGGAAGGTATTCCCTTTATCCGGCTGACAGTAACCAGAACAACTAAAGCAGGGCTGTTTTTTCAGTCACTGCGAGCCTGGATGTGGGATTCACTGGAAAAGCTGCTATGATGTGACTTTCCCAGGTGTGTTCTTGGCAGAGAGGCAGGAGCTGATTCCCAGGACCCTCGGTGGCTTCTGCTTTCTTTCCAGTAAAGATCACAGATCTGCCTCCTGTAACAGCAGCCAGGAGGAAAGCAGACAGCCCCAGAGCAGACCAGTGATGTTGTGCACGATCCCTGTCCCTGCACACACGTGCACAGCTGGTGCTGCCCATGATCCTGCCTCACTGGGATGGTGAGCATGGCACATCTGGTCAATCAGAGCCTGCTCTCTCCTCTCCAGAGCTTCAACTTCATCCTGCCTCTCCTCTTCCATCTCTTCTTATTCCTGTTATGCTTTCACTGTTCTCCTCATTTTCAAGACTGCTTTTCCATCATGTATGTGGTTTGCTGCTCCTTCCTATGGGATGTGAGTCAGTCTTAGTCCCCTTGCAAGGCCTGGCTGCCTGCACTTATGAGAGCCTATTGCTCTGACAGGAATTCACTGACAGGGAGCCATGTAATCCCACGGGAATGGGGCTGGGTGGAGGCTTAGGAAACCTGAACCTTGCTGCCATCTGCCCTGGCAGCCTGCTGGTCACTGGGTAAGTCTCTTCCCCTTTCTCTATCTCAGATTTCCCCATCTGTACAAGGGACAATGCCACTTCCCTCTTTTGTAAAATAATTAACAACTGTGGATGGAAAAAGGCAATTAAGAAGCCATGTGTTGTTAAGACTTGGACTGTGCTTTACATTGTGCAAAGGTTTTAATTTCTTCCCTTTCTGCGTGAGCATTTTTCTTATGTTACAGACTGAAAAATGGCAGAGGAATAAGAAAAGTGTGGGGGGGTAGTCTTGGAAAAGACTAAGGTCAGGAAATAGGTATGGCAAAACAGAAATTAGGGCAGAGGGTATTTTGCTTTCATGCATATCAATGTAGCTTTAAAAGCAATTAATTGAAAAAGGAGGAATTAACACATTTGAAATGCCTTTTTAATGATGCATTGAAGCCAGCAGCGTACATGCCAAATTTCACACTGGCTGCCCGTTCCAGAGCCCAATTTACAATGAACTCCTGGAAGACAGGCTGTGGGATGGAGAAGGCTCTTGGCCAGCCTGCTAACACCCAGGACAGCAGAAAAACCTTTTGGGAGCTCTGCTTCCTCCTCACGGCACTTGGCAGTGCTGGTCCCTGGTAGTGGCTCCATCCCTTGACAAACGCACCAGGGGACAGGAGAGGGAGGCTCAGGTCACTCTGGCAGCAGGGTTTGCCCTGGTGTGGGATGGAGGAGCAGTGCCACAGCTCCCAGCACAGATAGCTGGGCTGGCTGGTAAATCACCAGTTGCGTTTCAGCTCCGTGGCTTTGTTATGGGAACATTGATCTGTTGCTGGGATTAACCTCTCAGAGTTTCCAGTGGGTTGGTCTCGCAGTTATTAATGAAACTGGCTGGAACTTGTGTTGACCTTGGCAGAGGCCCCAGTTGGCTTGGAGGTAACTGGCAAAAGCATAATCTCTAATTGAGTAATGCAGGGCTGGGGGAAGGGAGCAGTGCTTTGAACTGGGAGAGCCTGGTGCTCCGGCGGGATGCGTGGGAGTGGAGGGCTCAGCACGGGGCAGTCACCGAGGGAATGAGCAGGCACAGCCAGGCAGCATCTCAGTTCCGGCACCCCGGGCTCCCTCCTGCAGAAAACAGCCCGGAATTCCAGCGCCTCCCCGTGATTTATTGCTGTGGAACAATAGCGCAGAGGGGCTGGAGGATGGAACAAGCTGTGAGCAGCGGCTGTCCCTGGGTGTGTGTCCTCCCTTAGCCCCTGAGCTTGCAGCAGGGATCGCTCCAGGCTCTCCCTTCCCCACGGGAGGTTGTTTTTCACTTGAGCAAAAAAGAGCTCTGGGCTTGTTCCTTGGGCTTTTGGGGAATGTCTGCAGGCGGGGAACGAGAGACAGCACAAGTCTGGTCTCCCCAGCCGTGC